AGTTTTCTTTATTAAGCATATTTTGTATCTTTTAAAAAACTTTCCATCTAATAAAACAAGTTAAAGCTTCTAAATCTAAAAAAGCAAATACCTTGTGATTAATAGATTCTAAAAAAATATCTATTCTAAAGACATTGATATTGCTATTAAATTCTAAAAAGGTTGATGCCTGTTTTTGCAATTTTTAGGTCAAAGTTTAAAAAATCCAATTGTTATACTTCACAGCAAATTCAAATGCATAACTTAATGTCTAAGGATTATATAAATTCAACATCAATTTTTTTACCTCATATTTTAATCCATAAAATAATTATTAATAAATAAAGTATCATCTCAACTAATATCAGTCATAAATTATTAAAATTGTGAAGCATATAATATTAATAATTGATTTTTTTAATACAAAATATAAATCTTATTGATTATAATACATATTACATTATGTTTTTCATATATGGATTAAAACCTTGTTTAGAAAAACTTTTAAATTATCCAATATTGAATCATGTTGTTTAAGATAAGAAAAAATTATAATAAAGTAGAACAAAAAAATAGTCTTTCTATAAATATAACTTGTGATTGTAAAATTGGATAGTTTTGAGATTGAGATTCAATCACCAATTTTACATGATTGACAAATCATTGAAACTTTGATCTATTGCCATCCAACTTCTCAAATAAGAAAATCATTATTTCTTTAATACTTGAAGGATCTACTACCAGAAGAGAACTAATTTAATTTAGTAAACATATTCAAACAACTCTAATTGTCTTTATAAAATCAATTATTGTCAATTTTATTGCACTTAGCAGTAGTAAATTGCAAAAATGCATTGCTACTTGGTTGCATTAGAAGATTTCAGTTTGAAAAGAAAAACCTGTTATTTTGGTTTTTCAATATGGTTAAGTAATGAAGTAATTTCTAAATAACAAAGTATTTATTTTCATAAATAATATGGTTATTACTTTCATAGATAAGATAGTTATTATTTTCATAAAAAATATAGTGATTATTTTCGTAAATAATATAGTGATTATTTTCATAAATAATATAGTGATTATTTTCATAAAAAATATAAAGATTATTTTCATAAAAAATATAAAGATTATTTTCATAAAAAATATAAAGATTATTTTCATAAAAAATATAAAGATTATTTTCATAAATAATATAGTGATTACTTTCATAAATTATATAGTGATTATTTTCATAAATAATATAGTTACTATTTTCATCAATAATATAGATATTATTTTCATAAATAATATAGTGATTATTCTCAAAAATAATATAGATATTATTTTCATAAATAATATAGTGATTATTTTCATCAATAATATAGATATTATTTTCAAAAATAATATAGATATTATTTTCAAAAATAATATAGATATTATTTTCAAAAATAATATAGATATTATTTTCAAAAATAATATAGATATTATTTTCAAAAATAATATAGATATTATTTTCAAAAATAATATAGATATTATTTTCAAAAATAATATAGATATTATTTTCATAAATAATATAGTGATTATTTTCAAAAATAATGTAGATATTATTTTCATAAATAATGTAGATATTATTTTCATAAATAATGTAGATATTATTTTCATAAATAATGTAGATATTATTTTCATAAATAATGTAGATATTAGTTTCATAAGTAATAGATTTATTATTTTCATAAATAATAGATTTATTATTTTCATAAATAATAGATTTATTATTTTCATAAATAATAGATTTATTATGCTCATAAATAATAGATTTATTATTTTCATAAATAATAGATTTATTATTTTCATAAATAATAGATTTATTATTTTCATAAATAATAGATTTATTATTTTCATAAATAATAGATTTATTATTTTCATAAATAATAGATTCATTATTTTCATAAATAATAGACTTATTATTTTCATAAATGATAGAGTTATTATTTTTATATATAATATTTCAAAATTTTAAAAATAATAATAGTAAAAAAATCAAAACTATATGAATAAATTTCAACAAACAAAATATAGACAAATACCAACACAATATGTGTTTTTCTTATTTCTTATTTTTTCATAAAAAAAAAAAAACTCACTTAGTAAATATATTGCCATAAGATGCATTTTTCTACCTCATTGACATATACAATGGCATATTTCATCCTCACCATAGATATGAAAACTTTAAAAGAACTAACATATGCTTGTACATACGTCCATTCCAAAAACATATAGAGAATTTTGGGCACTAATTTTGATTTCAATTTCCTTGTATATTCTACCAACAACAATACTATATATATAATTGATATGTAATATCTTCAACATAAATCAAGGGAATTGTTAGGTGTACACCCCATTCTATTGCATGGACACCTCTTTGTGTCACACATCTCCCCCACATAAACAATAAAGCTCTTCTTTACATTGAAAGTGTTTAGGATAAGTACACAGTAAAAGAATTGTGTGTAATGGCTCATTGCAATTCATTTCATCTTCTCCTTATTTGTCTATTTATTTTATTTTGTTGATCAAATTTTAATCAATTTCATAATAGATTTTATACACTTCTTTAATTTGATTTAAAAAGCTAATTAAATTTACATAAAAAATCTTTTACTATACACATACCCTAAAACTTTTTAGTGCAAGTAAGAGATCTGTTGTGAATATGAAGGAGTGCGTGGCATGAGAGGTGTCCAAACAACAAAAGAAGAATGTCCATACAGTAAGACGAGGTGTCCACCTAATGATTCCTTTACCCATTGAAGTTCACGTCACGCTTATAGAAACAAGCGAAAATTGCAAGAATCAAAACCACATGCTATTGCTTATACAGACCATGCACTAGCGACATGATCATCTAAATCTGTGGAACACACTGGCAAACAGAAGAGGTGCTAGCGTATAAGAATACAAATGAACAACATACATAACTTAAATAAAATGAAAGATTGGCTCGGAAAACGAGTAGCGCACTCAAGACCGCCGGTAAACGGAGTCTAGCGGCGAAGCAAGAGCGGTGCAACCCACCACGCAATTAGATGGCGAGCGTCACGTGGAAGAGCGTGCCTCGGGCGGAATCCAATTCCCTGGTCGGAGATGGCCCGGACCGCATCGAGCTAATAAGTTGACGACATGAACCTCCGCTCATCCGGGTTCCGATATCGTCTTATCCGATAAGTGCTCCTGCTGCCCTTTTATCCTGCTGTGTCCTGCCCCTCCATCTGTGCTATAATTGCCCCTCCCGCCTCCAACTGTAGTTATTGACTCGCAGCGGCTTGCACTTCCGGTGTGTCAATCTCGTGATAGCTTCGCTGTGCATTGTGTGTTTCAGCCATGGCTGCCGCTACCGCCTGCGCTTCTACCGCCTTGGCTGGGCAGAGCTTGCTCAAGCCCGTGAACGAGCTGTCCCGCAGGGTGGGTGCCAATGAGGCCCGCGTCACCATGCGCAAGTCCGCTGGGTCTGACAGCATCTGGTGAGCTTCGCGTTTTTGTGAGTCTGGTAGATGGGTGTTATGCGAGTGCTGATGACACAATGCCGGGTTTATGGAGAGTGTGTCAAGGGTGCTGGTTGGTGTTATGTTTGTTCGGGGACATGCGAGTGGTTTGTGCAAACAGAGGTTGCGATGCTTGATTACTCAGTCGGCGATGTGACTGATTGGTGTAGGTATGGCGCTGACCGACCCAAGTTTCTGGGCCCATTCTCCGGCGAGACCCCCTCGTACCTGAATGGTGAGTTCGCTGGTGACTACGGCTGGGATACCGCTGGATTGTCCTCCGACCCCGAGACGTTCGCCCGCAACCGCGAGCTGGAGGTCATCCACGCCCGGTGGGCCATGCTCGGAGCCTTGGGGTGCTTGACCCCTGAGCTCCTGGCCAAGAGCGGTGTGAAGTTCGGAGAGGCCGTGTGGTTCAAGGCTGGCGCCCAGATCTTCAGCGAGGGAGGTTTGGACTACCTCGGCAACCCCAGCCTTGTGCACGCACAGAGCATTTTGGCCATCTGGGCATGCCAGGTGATCCTGATGGGAGCCGTGGAGGGTTACCGCGTCGCCGGTGGTCCCTTGGGTGAGGTGACGGACCCCATCTACCCAGGAGGTTCATTCGACCCCTTGGGCTTGGCCGACGACCCCGACACCTTCGCCGAGTTGAAGGTGAAGGAAATCAAGAACGGGCGATTGGCAATGTTCTCAATGTTCGGGTTCTTCGTCCAGGCTATCGTCACCGGCAAGGGACCCCTGGAGAACCTGAACGACCACCTGGCTGACCCCGTTGCGAACAACGCATGGGCATACGCCACCAACTTCGTTCCCGGCAACTAGATGTATGATCCGTCGAAGAGATGACGGCTGAGGCGCAAGATCGCCTTGCATTCTGTACCATAGAGGAGTAAGTGTTGCAAATTATTGGCGGTTGGGTGTTTCCAGCCACGCTGGTTCAGTAAAGGATGATTACACAAGAATGAACGTGTTTTGGTGTGCCACGGGAGACGCTGATCCCTGAAATGTCGCAACGTTGGTGTTCGGAACATGTGATGACGAACGGTTGTGTTTACTCCGTGCGTCACCTTGCTTCGACACAGTGTCAAGGCCAGTAGCAGATGGTAGAATGCGGAAGAGTCTGTCTTGCAGTCGGATACATGAATGCAATCCGACTTACAGCGGGTTTGCAGCAACTTCTGTTCCTAGCGAACGAGCAGGGATTGTGTTGGTTGAAGGTGAAAATGAGTGTCAAGTTTTTATGTGAAGAGGGACTGTGAGCAGACAGATTTTCTCTATTCACGGTTTTGAGGAAAGAAATTAATGTGTCCGTTGTCGGAGTTTTCGTGCTGGTTGTGCACCTGGTTCTGAGAATTACTCGATTTGTCATGTTCAATCCTTGTATGAATTATCGCTCATTATGTTTACTATCCTTTTTGAAAACGTGTGAGCGGAAGAATTGAAATCGAGCGGCACTTGAATGTAGAAGTTAATATGATTCAATTCAAGGAGGAGACCTCTCTAGTCTTGCAATGTGTGCCTTATGTATTCACGATATGGGAATTTATGGTTTTGGGTTGTAACCTTTACCAGAATGTCTCAAAGGTGTCGTTCACGGAATCAGTGGTTGAAGCGATGAAAGGATTTGCTGACATCCTTTGAACGTTTTACTTGTATGCAGCTAACTACGATTTTGTAGATTAAGCACATTGTGGAAATGACCTTTAATGCAGTATATGTTCTTGTGCATGTGTTTTTCTTTTGAATACTATTAGTTTTTATCATTTTAATCCAACTCTTATGTTTTGAACGTAAGCTTCGTAGTATATGCGACCAAAACAATTTCGTTTTTTAGAATAATAAGAATTTAACTTGCAAATATCGACACTGAGAGATAATTATCTGTTTCTTAACTGACTTAACGTACACTTTCTTCGGGAATCCTTTGTTGGAAACATTTTATGTACAATTTCAACCTAATTTCTTCAAATTTGCAGAGATGAAAGTTTTCTAACAACAATATCGAGTAAATTAACGGCCACTGACGAGATCACATGTAGGGGGTGTCAAGAATGGCTACAGAGTTCTTCGCGGACTACGTGCAGCATTGATGATTACTCACAAATTTCCTCTGAGCAATATGGGTTTGAACCGTCTTCAGCATTTCATGTGTTGTTCACTATTGATTGTGTTGACACTAGGTGCAGTAGCACAAGGTTTTTCATCGTTTGCACAAGGATACCGATCCATGTCCTTCAATGGTTTAAATGTTTGCAGTTGTGTTGAATGCGAAGTGATGAATCCTTCTATGATTCAAGTAACTGTCGTTGTTCGACGGTACACAATAAGGTATGATGCAAGGTTTAATGAGCTAGAGACGCCACCCAACTGGTGACCCTTAGAAACTCCTGTGCAGGTCGGGGTGGAGGCGTTGCAATGTCTGTCTGAATCGTCAAGGGTTTTTGTGCGTGTTTAAAGGTAAGCAACTTCTCGTCTCCTGTGGCAATCGCTGGGAGTTGAGAGCAGGTTTGTGAAGGAGCTTCCGAAGAAGGAGCTTCCGAAGAAGGAGCTTGGGATCCTTTCCCACTGATTGCTGGGCTGCAATCTTATGGCTGTGGGGTATGACTGGCATTCATATCTGTAGCCTAGAACAACGTAGTAAAACTAAATCTGCGCAGGAACTCCATCGAAGATACGTTAATGATTCAGCACAGGAGATGACCCTAAACTTCCAAATTTAGCATCACCTTCTCTCTCCACGGAATTGATATCAGAACGTTCAGGCGTATGGATGGGTGGGCGTGTTTAACCTGACCAGTATGAGGCAGATTTGTCGTGATGCTGGAGGATTGTTGTGGAGTAACTGCAGTATCTGCGATTCTTGTCGCAATGTGATCAAAATTCATTGTTGTGTTGTGCTTACTTTTTCCGTCTGACATGAAGACGATGTGGTGATTAGTCATCGTACAAGTTGATCTTGAACTCATAGTCCGTGGTGGCTGGGATCTTGTACTCCAACGGCCACTGGATAGGGCCAGCGAAGGATTGTTCTACTGTAGCGCAGAGTTGGGTGTGAGCTTCTGGTACAAATCCACTATCGGATTACAGCTCTGCCTTGATGATTTGTTTGCAACAGCTAGTTCCTTCAGATGAACTCGCCAGTCGGCTGCTTAGGTGCGTAATCCTGGAAATCATTCGTTGCTGCAGGAAGAAGAAACTTGAGACAATTTACAATTGTCCCACGATTGTCATAGTGACCAGGAAAGATGTCCAAGGGAAAATCAAGGCCAGGTTCTGCAGATGGCGAAAGGCCGAGCTCAAGCGGCAAGTCTAAGAAGCCACATCACCAGAGCAAGTCATCGTCAGCTGATGGTTCGAAATCCAAGTCGCCACGATCAGCTTCAGCAGATAGCTCCCGAAATTCACCAAGGCCAGTGTTACCAGATAATGGCAAAAGGAATCCACTGAGTAAGCTTAATAGGCTACGTAACGGGGGTAATCCAAAGCCATCGTTCCTGGGAACAGGTGCATCGGAGGCCACGAAGATACTCTTAAAGACTAAGCCAAGGGCCTTTCGATCAGCAGATAGCTCCCCACGTTCATCCAGAGGTGGCTTCCCAAAAGCAGGATCAAGACAAGGCTCGCCTACTGGATTCCCAAGGTCTCCAAGCTCGACATCGAAGTTGACGACGTCCGATCCATGGGGTTGGCCATTTCTGCAACTCTCCAAAAACTCGATAATACCATCCCCTTCAAATCACATCGTCGTGTTTTTACGTGATGATTTTGCGTATTTCCTCAGAAAAGTACCAAAAATAAGCCCCGCTTGGAAGTGCCCTTCACTAAACGCCTTTAATTTGCATTGCTTCTAATACAGCAATTCCATGACTTACGGCCGAGTAAACGCTATGCCCTTTACTTGATGCTACGACCTCGACGTAAGTATAACGACGTTAATTGTATACGATACATCAGCATTCTGAATACCTCTCACATGTTTGTTTCAAATTTTCCTGCAAATTTATTTGTGATAATAGTTTATTTCATGCCTTGTCCTCCGATGCGGGTGCAGATACAGATGGCAATCTCCTAGTCCATTTGATCTTAACTCAGACTTTGCAGGTGGTTCCAACTCGGCTGTAAAGCGTCTGATGGAAGAAACATGTTCTGTGAATGCGAGAGAATCAACGCCCGAGGTTAAAGTGCGGAAGCTGGAATTCAATAAGTACTCTGACAAGGAAAGTCTTTTAAATGAATTGCAAAGTTTGAAGGAGGCGGTGGCTTATCAGGCTTATCACTTCCTGCTCCACAAAGCTCACCTTCAGGGTCTCCGAGCAAAGCAGAGGTCGGTTTTATTCGCTTCTCTAAACTTCAAAATTCGCAACATTCGTCAGTTGTGGTGTATGTGGAATTCTCACTGGTTGTGAGAACGTACAATAATGGGGACTTGACTTGCGTAGATCTGTGTCATTACCAATAAAATTACGACATCTACTCTCTTTTACATAAATCTAAAACCATTTTGAAATTGAATCTCAATTCTAACCTCATGTTGCAAAAGAAAAACAATTACCAAAAAATAGATAACTGAGTAAATTAGCAGTAGTCAAGACGTGAAAGATCGTAGTAATTAATGTTGCAGAAAACTAGAGAAAAAAATTGAAGACCTGGAAATTACAGCCGGATCCAATGCACCACGAACAGGAGGTCATAGCCGCTTGCTTTCAAAGATAGCAGGTTTGTGAACCCTACCTCCATCCCGATTTTATCACTATCAAACGAGCCAGATCGTGTGGTCTTTTAGATGCAAGGGACATTAACAATAGTGATTAAGAAAATATAGCTTGTTCACAGCAGAATTGTTATACAGGTTTGCGTATGAAAATTGTGAGTCTCGAAGATGACATCACGAATCACCAGGAGAAAATCCAAAACCTCAAGTACAGATACCAAGTCTGTCTGACACGGGTACTCTTTATTTCTTATGTTATGTAATTTTATCCCAAAGCAGCCAAAATCTTGGACTGAAACTGGTAAGTATCCAGAGAGTGAATCAGTCAGTGTCTATTGAGAAAAGATAGTTGATTCGACTCCAATTGCCTATCTATCAATCAAAGTAGGAGAATTTTTAAGCAAGTGTAATTGACCTAACTTATTCAAAAGCTGTGATGGAGGAAGGATTTCCAATCTAGACTCGACAGAATTCCTTGTTCCTCACATCAAACACATGCTCGCAGGAGGCTGTCATGCAAAGAGATATGGCTGCAGGAGATGTTTGGAGGCTCCAAAAAGAGCAGAGAGAGGCCAAGGAGAGACTCGTCAGTTTGACAACACACAACAGGAAATTCTTATATTACAGAGACCTAGTCTTGCCAGAGCTTGAGAAGTCATTTAAAATCAAAACGGAAAAGTTGAAGGCAGAGTCTAAAACTCGTAACCCGTGATGACATTGACACATTTATCGTCCAGTCTTTATAGCATCAGGGTTTGCTTCACCTTCTCTTGTTAGCATCCCCAGCCGTGTGTACAGCCAATATTGCTAAAGATCTTGCATTGGTCAGCTTACGAAGAGACGTCTGCAGGAAGGGAAACTTCGAATCAAAGAAACAGAAGAACAAGGCAAACGATTCACAGCTGAGTCACACAATTGGAAGAAAGCGGCAGACAAGTTCCAGAAGCGAGCTACCGAACTACGGGACGAGCAAAAGAAGATGAGAGGCAAGCTGAAACAGGAACTTGAAAGGAAACGGAAGACACAGCAAAGCGCTTGGGCATTGGAATACGAGACCTGCATGCTGGAGAAAGAGGTCAGGTACAGACGCAAGATGGGTACACTCAAGAGAGAAACTAAGATAAGCAAGTCATCTGGTACAGAGAAAGGTGAAATTGAGAAGGAGTCTAAGAAGAATAAGAAGAAAAAGAAGAAGAAGTAGAAGCCTGGGCATTGACAGCCTGCTTGTCACATGGAGGAACTGAAATCAGCACAGGAGTGCAGCCCCTATTGCCTGTCCATCACTACATCCAAAGCCAGTGCCTGAGTTACAGAAGCTATGGCTATGGCTATGGCTACGGCAATCCGCAAGGATGTAGCTCACCATGTTTCATTGTATTGCAACCAGCAAGCTGAAGCTCTCATGGTACAGATGAAGCTTCATGTGGGTGTCTCTCTTTCCATCAATGACCCACTTGTTGGGTTTCTACAACCTTCAATGTGTTGTAATTTTGTAAAGCTCCTCACATTCTATCACATTTGTTTCTTTCCGTGGAAAGGAAAAATGTGACAAATGGATCTAAGCCAGCTTCAAACTCATCCAGTTTACGGGTCAAAATTTTCCATATGCAGAAAGCCTTCAAGCTTGAAACGTGGAGAGTCTATATTGAGCTTAGATATGATTCATGGTTTGCCAAATATATTTTGGGGATATTATGTACTTCTGCTATAACTTATGAATTCTTTTTTGTTGAATTTTTATTTATTTTGGGAAAAAAGAAGCACTGGAGCATGGAGAAGCAACATTGCACATAATGATGATTGAAGAAAGACATAGAATTCTAAGTGTGTTGGAAGAATATTGTTGAAAACCATCATAATGTAGTAAAACCACAAAATGATATATAAGTATGCTATTTTTTGAATAGAAGTCAACAATGACTTGTGCAATATATAGTAGAAGTGCTTCTGATTTTGTTTAAGGCTAAGATCATATCTGTCACTATTTATTCAATTTGAATCATTCGTTTTAAATAATCGTTTGAAGTTTATTAACTATTATTATGGATAATTAAATGTTTTGTAATATCTATGTGACTTCTTTCTTATATTAAATAATTTTTAATAATTTAAAAATCACTATTAAGTTTTGGTGTGTGTATATATATATATATATATATATGCTGGGATTTTGAAAAATAATCACTAAATTCTTTACTTCAAGGTCTCTGCACAACAGAGAATTTTAAAGTACATGCTGATTCCAAAATTATTTTGATTAAAACCAAAGTATTACATCAGTAAAACTGAGATTTAAAATATTTTTGTTGTTAACCTTATATAATATAGTTAAGAAATATATTTTTTAAATGAAAAATAAAAATAGATATATAATTTTTTTATTGGAATGAAAACATAAGATCATGGACAGTGTTTGATATAAAGAAGTGACACAATAATTAAAATGAAATAAAATTACCACTGGTGGATGGTTTGGCCACAATGAAAAATACATTGTTAAGAAATTATCCGATTCTTTATTAGTATTCAACCTTTCATTTTGATTTTTTTAGATCTAAAAAGAAATGGGTAATATAATCTAAGTTATACATTTAAGTTATTAATAGTATTAATTTAGGAATATGTGTATATATATATATATATATATATATAGTGCGGCTTTGCTGAGCAGTTAAAATTATAAATTACAAATTAGATATGACTTGTTGAAGACGGATTGATATCTAGATTGTAACGTACAAATGAGAGCAAACCAAATACCCACAAATTAGCAAAACGTATACTTACGTAATCTTAAACATACATACATGTATCATTAATTTTTTTGCATTGCCATGACCAAAGGGAGAGGGGAAACAACCAAAATAAACAAAGCTTGAGGAGTTGGAGCTCATTCACGAGAGTGTTGGAGGGCTTTTCGACCACGTAAAAGGGTCAGGCACAAAATCACCCTATTACCATAGAACCTGAAATCCATGAATAATTTAATTCCGTGGTTAGCTTCCATTGGTTGGGTGTGCACAACGCGCATTACATTGGCATTGGGCAGCCTTTGTCCTGCCTCGAAGTCAGGGGACTTATTCCGTTTATAGGGGAAAGATAAAGGATACAGAACCTCAAGCTGTGCTTTTTGTCTTTTACTATATACAAACCCATTACCTCGCATTGGTCTTCTCTTTGCGGGCTCTAAGCTTTCTGTTAACCAAACCAAGTGGAAGAATGACACACACAATCCTTTTTTCACACCTAGATGTTCACTGTAGGGGGTTTCTGCCTACTTTGCCTTCTTTGTCAATGGGTTCAAAGATTCTTAATAGTTTGGAATTATCATTTCGATTCTGGTTTTGATTATTTTACACAGTTTCATCTTATTTACATCGTATGTGCTTGTTTCAAAACATACAGATATGTTCATGTATATATATATATATATATATATACACATACACATTTGTAGATGGAAAGGTTTGAAATATCAAACATGCTAATATGCAATCATTTCATATGAATCTATTTGAAAATTAGTTCCATTTGTAGCTATGTGGGAGCTCTGTAATTATTTCCTATTGAGGTTATGTATATATATATATATATATATATATTCCATCAGGAGAGAATTTAGCGCTACAGAAGCGAAAAAATGAAACCACACTACACCAAAATGCACAGAAATGTATGTACACAAATACTTTATTATCAGCTGAGATTAAATCTATCATGTCCTGTTAAGATATCTTATTGTTCCTCTATGTTTTATTTCCATCCCGTTCCAAATCCCCATCCACAACGTAGTCCGCGAGGCGACAAATGATCCAATCTCTTCGACAACAAGTCAAGAGAAAGCATGAGGTAATTCAGCGTTGTCGCATGCCGAAATGTATTTTCGTTGGATCTGCAGCGTTGTTGTCGAAATGATCGCGGAGGATAAGATCGCGAATCCAGAAATTCGTTGCAGAGAATTCCAGGCCCGAAGTTTTGTCGGCATGGCGTAAAGTCTTTTTTTGGGTAAGGGCACAGCTGGTTGGAGGAGACGAGGGATGACTGGGATAAAGGAGCATGGGGCGTGGAGGCGAAGTAGGAGGAGCCGTGACAAAGTGAGGGGCTCTGGAATGCGAGCGATGTGAAGAGGGACGCCGATGGGAGGGCGCTGTTCAGTAATGGCAGGTACAGGAGCGTACGTTTGCTTGGGATGGTGGGAAAATTCAGCAGGTTTCGCGGCTGTCTCGGTATGAGAGGATTGTGGACAGGATCTGCCAGGAGAGTCGCGCCAAATTGTGGTCACCAGGATTCGCTTTACTCCTCAAGCACCGCGTCTCATGCAGATACCAGCGTGGAGGTGAATGCGCGGTCGCCGCACTGGGAATGTTCACTTGCTGGGGTGCCCAATTAGGAGTTTGTAGTGTGGCAAGCAGGCGAGGGTGGCGACTCGTGTGTCATGGGAGAGGGGTTCTGTTCACTGGGGTCGAGTTCATCACGAGGGTTTGCCGAAGAATTTAAGTGATGATAGAATGGGGGTTTGTGTGTGCCGGGAACAAGGAGTATGTGATGACGTGCTTGCTGTCGATTGCATTGCAAATGGTGGATTGATTTCTCCTGATAAAGATCGGGAAGTTGACAGGAAACTCAAACAAGAAGATTTGCAGAAAGGTGATGTGGATTGAGGTATCTTGAGTGGCTGCGATTTCTGGGGCGCTTACTGATGCAACTAGCTGCTGGAGCCTCTTGCAAGAAACCTAGCTCTGAGAGTTTTGTGAAACTGTAGAGTTCGTTCCATTGGTTTTTTTCTTTTTTTCTTTTTGATTCGGGTTTATGAGTGCGTCTGGTCTGGACGTAGGTATGTATTTTTTCGAGTTTCTACTTTTTTGGGGTTAGAGATATTAGGCGACTTGCAGGGGTATTTCAGGGCCTCTTTGTAGGAACAACTTAAGCCTTTAGTGCTGTAGACACATTAGTAGACGTAATTTGCAGATTGCTTCATCTGATATTACAGCAGTAATTAGCAATCTTAAGCTTCCTCCTCACTTCTCATAACGGCAGCCCTCCATTCAGAGCATATTGAAAAGCAGAATGAGTATAGGATGTACATTGTTAGAATTTGATATTCATCTGGCTCTTTTCCGAAGGGTGAATTCAGAGAATCTACTTACGGTATTAGTTTACGATAAGTCTTGATATCAGTATGCGAGTTAATGTTATCGTCAGCGATATCGCATGTCGGCTCGATTTTCAAAGAATGTGTTCAATTTCTTTGCTTCGCACGCAGAAGTGGAGGTGAGAGGGTGTCCTCATACAGGGTTTTTCTGAATAAATTAAGGGGGGGAGAGGAGTATATAGACGACGAATGCCTCTTTTAGGGGCTGGCAGCGGTATGGGCTTGGTATCTGATAAGCCCCAGCCCCAGTCGCAGCCGCAGCCCCGTCCAGAAGCAGGTGCTGGAGATGTCCCGAAGAAGAAGCCGCGGTTGAAGCGAGAGAATCATACGCATGTGAAGCATGACGAGTGTTTCTCCGACTGGAAGGTATGTGTTTGTACACATTCTTTGTAGTGACCACTAATTGAAGTTCGACACATGTACTTGTCTTCCTCCCTCGTTCTGCGACTATGGCTTCCCAGCTGTTCAGTGTCCCAAAGGACTCTCCTTCCTTAAGTGGTACTGCTCGGCGACACATACAAGCATTAAATTCAAATGCCATGATAATTCATAATGGGTTCTTTGAGATTTTCCGCTGCTGGATTCGTTTCCTGATACTTTAATTCTCTCATCAGTCGTAAAGGAAAAGAAAATAGCGAGAAAACTATGCCTTAGGATAATGGAAGTGCGTTTGAAGCCATACTCATTAGCTCAAATGTAGGGCGTTCTCCAAATTCGTGAAAGACTAGATGCAGTATTATCTTAACTGTACTGTCTCGTACACTGAAATGCAGTCTCGAATGCTTTTAGCTTTTTCCAACTCAGTAGTAACCATCGAATGCGAGATGAGTGGGTTTTACGCTATCAGCACAGGCCATATACTTTAGTTTCTAAATGTTAGTATCAAGGATCTGGAATTGTGCATCCGAGGGCCTTCGATTCTATAGTAGCACCCAATCAGAATATTGTCGTGGGATTGTGTATTGTCCGCTTCAGGTTCTCGTCGGTCCTACAGATTGGAAGGACCACGCATCTGGAAAGATTCCTGGTCGGTTCCGGACTAGCAACCTATCCAGCAACTACAGTGGCGCCGGCATATTTGAGCTGGGAGTCACGCCACCCGCATGGCTGCCACCCCAACGTAGCAACTACTCAGGCTTCCTGAAACCTCAAGACGTGGTGGTGGTGTATCTAGGATGCGCTGAAAACGTCTACCAGCACTTATTTCGCATCGGTCAGACGGGGGCTCACCTCGAAGGTGCCAGGTCCGTTCTCCTAATTCTGCAGGTTATTCCTCCATGTTACGCATTTTACACATCATAATACTGATTCCAGGCATGGTCGCTTGCAGATCGACGAGACTATTTGCTGTTGGGAACGAGACAGCTAGTAAAAGCGCTGCAGATGTACAAAGCTTATCCCAATCGAGGAGTTTCAACTTGGAACTTGGTAGCCTCAACATGAGTCTTGACAGGGGTCCGGGCGGCGATGGCGGGTACATGAGCGGCGGGAGCAGGCCGATGAGCAATGCGAGTATGGATGGGACTAACTCGGATGCGCATTCAATTTCGGAGCATCACAAGAGGACGAGTTCTTACGACCAAGCTGCCGGAATTCGATCACCGAGTCGTCGAGGTCCCCGTCTTTTCTCCGAAGTTTTCGCCTTGGGTTGCTCCATAGCTTTCCGTTGGAGTGTGGTGAGTCTTCCCTAAATTTTGTTTCACTGTAAATTTTTGAATATGCGAGCTGCGAGATGACAGCTCTCAATTTTCGTGCCTTCGTGTTTTGATGCACAAGTGCAGACTGAGAACAAAATAATGGCGGAAAAGGCGGAGGCAGATCTCATTGAGGTATTCGACTACGCATGGAAACGAGGCGGGAACTTCCGCCAACGATCATCGGATGTGGTCTCGAAGATTGTCATGGGCGGTGCGCTCGGGTCTAACGACCCCTCTTATGATTGTTTCGGCGTCAGATCATCCAGGACGTGGTTCTTCTCTCCCAAGTCCAAGGTCGGTGTTGTCATTGCCGCTCGAAAACCTGGAATCCAGGAAGGTTGTGGACGCGCTGGCAGCAGGGCAGATCGAAGCCGAGTCGCAGATTTCTTCACCCTCTTCAAGAGCAGCTCACAGTTGGGAGGGAAAATCTCCAAGAGTAGTGAATTCACCAAATTCGACATCCCGCTTGACCGTTGCGGGGCGCCATTAGAGAATGGAAACCCCTGCAACGCCCTCCCGGTGAAAGGTGGCAAACGATGTCTCCTGCACAAGGATTCAAAAAAGCAAAATCAAGGAAAACAGGTTAAAGTAGTGCTTACACCCCAATCCAGCATCGCACATCACATACCAAGTAGCAGGGCCGGATCATCATCGCCGGAGACGCAACATCATATCCATCACGCTCCCGAGTCCCCTATCTTGCCAGGTCCAGAGCCAACGTCATCCTCTTGCTTCCCGTTCTCCATTGCGCCTGCTTCGGTGCCATCACGGTCATCCCCCGAGCCAAAAAGGCGCGGCAGCTTGTCGTTCAACTCCTGGTTGCGCACGTCTGAGCTCCGCATGGCCAAGAGCCGAGAATGGGCTGAGATGAACCAGGCAGGGGCGGGGAACTCACGTCCTGATGGACCCAAACGAAGTTCCACATACAGCGGCATCTTGCCGACGTGCGAGGAATCACAGCTGGAGTCTTCAGTCAGTCGTTCACCTTCACGACGCGACATCTGTGGATTGAGACTTCCGGACGGCACTGTGTGCGCTGATCCGCCACGACCGGAGCGCAAGCGTTGCGAGGCACACAAAGGTCTTCGCAACACACTGGCGCCTCGCTCACCCACTCATGCCGTCACCCCAACTGCGCAAGAAAGTTTTTAATCCCCACCTCTTCAAAGAGATTTCATCACCTTGGAGCGGGATTTCCAGTATGAGATTACTATTCGCAATCACTGAATTTTTCTGATGCGCACGATTGTATCATGAATTTACTGTTGATCGATGTATATCATTGCTACTTCGGCCGTCCTTCATGACTGAGCCGAAATGCCTGCGCTGAATCCGGTTTAGAATGCTAGACACTGACTTCTAGAATCAGTAAACTAATCCAGCAACCACCAGATCCATGCGAAGGGTTAAAGCTTGCCTGTTACTGAGATTCACCTTCTCAATGAAATTGCAATTCTCACCGATCAAACCCTCCGATCTGAAAGAGGAACACTCAAAGAAGCTACAAGACGTGGTGGCGACGTCTATAATGCTATTGATTGCTTGTGTAATTAGAAGAAATATGGTTTAGGGTTCAGGTGATGAGTTACTTGCTGTGATAGATGTGATGAGCATCAAAATTTACGTGACAACACATACATTCAATACATGAAGATTTGATTACTGAGTAAGTTGTTTTGATTTTTGAACATGTTTGTTTTTTTTTTATTCATTTTACTCAAATTGGACTTCTACTCTAGTTCAGCCTATTCAGAATGAATCGATGTTCTTGAATATATATATATATATTTATATGTATCTTTTTCTACCAGTTGTTGTGTTTCGATATCGATATATATGTTGTATTTTGTCATGTTATGGTATGAATAAAGTCCTTATCTACCATTTTTTTTTTAAATTCTTTTTATACGTTTTACTACATGTAGTATTTTAAAATTTTGATATTCAAATGTGTGGTAAAAATAGTATTTGAAGTGATCTACGAATGCTTTTTTACAGACAATTTATATATCATTCTTAGCTCATCATCAGGAAAATTTAATTTAAAAAAAAGTACGTTTGGTATTATAATTTACATAAAAATGATAATGTGGAGAATATATATATTTATATATTTGTAACCCTCAATTTTTGAAGCAACTTATATCAATTCATTAATGAAGAGTAATAGAAGAGTAGTTGTGTAATACAAATTTAAAGTATTATAATAAGATACTTACAAGACTTAAAATAAAAATAGAATTATTTTTCTTTTAAAATTATTTTACAAGTTAAAAATCTAATAGTTTGAAGAAAAGTAATGCAATTTAAATTGACACATATTAATTAAAATTTTAATTGAAGAACTAATTTCATTAATTACTTTTGGATTGAACCAATTCTAAAAATTATGAATTTCAAAAATTAGCTAAAATAGAGTTTTTGTTCTTTTGGTGGATAGTGGAAAGCCTTTAATGTATTTTTAAATAGAATATCCTCTAATGTACATGAAATTAATATAGTCTATAATATGCTTGTTAAGAATATATGTGCATCATAGACATATATATTAACACTAGTATTAACTTAGATAAGAGGAGTTAAGTAGAAGTAGGTAAATTTAATAATATCTTATGGAGAAGCTCATTAGAAGCTTTATAAATGCAGATTTGACTTAAGTGTTTACAGGTGATTGATAGGTTAAAAACTTGGCTAATAAGTTAGACACATGTTAGATAACTTATAGAACATTGCTACATAGTTTCTTAGTTAAATAGTATATAAACTGGCAATAGTGAGGCCTTCCTCACTCTTGCCAATTTTTTTTTTGCTTCTAGTCTAATTTCAAGAGTCTATAATTTTTTTGTCTTTAGCAATAGCCATTCCAATTTCTTCTTAAATATACATACTTTTTCATTCCCTTTATGTCATCTTTCTTTAAGATATATCTTGTTTAATTACATTCTTCAAGTTTTTGTTCTTAACAATGTATAAAGATTGATATATTATAATTGAAAATCTTGTAACTTTTAATGTACTAATTGCAAATAAAGAGACACATTAATAGATTTCTAAGTGTATATCTACATTTGATCTTGTAATAAAACACTTAAAATAATAAAAATGTAAATAAACAGATTTTACATATATTTTTTCTAAATATTACAAGTTATATCTTTACTACACTTAGGAAATATAGCCCATATAATCTTAGAATACTGTCTCAAAGTTGAATCTTTTCATAAAAACTTTATAACATAATAATTACTTTAGCAAATCCTTCAATATAATACAAGAACAATCACTTATACAATAATTGATATTTGTGCCTCTAATATTACAGGATCTACCAATACTTAATTGCTTAATTAGTTAAAGCTTACGGATCTTCTTTATTAGCTATTATTGGATTTGTAAAGCTAGTTATTTTATCTTGCTTAGGAATTTTAAAACTTTTAGGATTTTTCTTCTTAACCATGATGCATATAATACATTATTGTAGCTCATCAAAAGTGGAGCTCACTTTTCAACATATCTCTTTGAATTCCAACAAGATCCTCCAATGGATTGTATTGATATTTTAAAGGATGCTTAAATCATAAATTATCAAAAGGTTCTTCGATGGAAACTATATTGGTCATTATGGATGTAATTTTTTTCAATTAGAACATATTTTAATACAAAATATAGTCAAAGTTTACAGATCTTGTTCATTAGCCATAGCTTAAATTGCAAGGCTAGCTATCTTATCTTTCATAGGGATTTTTTGACTTTCAAGTTTTTTCTTCTTATCAATGGTTTATAAAGGAAATTATTAGCTAAACACCTCTCTTTTACTATGTGGATACCTTTCTTTTACTATATGAACATCTTCTTGCACATTACATTCTAATATACATAAAATAAAATTCTTATTTACACTAAAAATTTATAAGATGAATTTAAAATAAAATTTGTGTGTGTAATGGCTTATTGCATTTAAAAAAAAATAAAAATAAAATTAAAATTAAAAAATTTCATATTATATTTCATGTAATTCTTTTATTCACTTTAAAAAGCTTATTAAGTTTATTTAGAAAATCCTTCATTGTAAATTTATTGAATATTTTTTTTATCATAGATAAGAATTTTATTATGTATATGTGGACGTGTGTGGCCCTGGGGAGCATCCATGTAATAAAAAGGCAGTGTCTAATTAAAAATTTCCTTTATAAATGGTTGGTTTTATTAAGTCCTAAAACTTCAATTTTATGATGATATTTATGATATCTTCATCAATGTTAGTCATTTTAGAGTAGTTGAAGTCGAATTATAGATAAATTATATTTTAAAACTTTAGACAAAAAAGAATAAAAACATCAAATTTTATTTTTAACTTAGGCTCTAGCTCAAGTAAGCAATTTATGTACTATATATCCTAAGAATAAGAAGACATGAATCTCATGTTGGCATTGAATTATTTGAATGAAAAAAAAAAGAAGGAAATGAAATGCTTTCAATTTTTTAAATATTTTCAATAGCAACTACAAATATATAATAATTTTTAGTTTAAGAATATTGTGAGGATTGAGAAGATTGAATATAATATAGTTTTTATAATAGAATATAGAATATTATGTTGATTTACATAGTAAACAACATTTGTAATAAATCTAGATTTTTTCATTTAAATAAGGACTCAATTGCAGGGAGATTATAGAGAGGCCTCCTATGACTTTATAGGGAGATCCTTTCTATAACAAGTTTTAATGGCTAATGTCTAATGGTACAATACGAAAATTAATACAACACCCAAAATAATATTGTAGGAGATATTAATTTAGAAAAATTAAACAAGGCAATATAAATATAAATATATATAATTGTGCTTATTTAATAGCAAAACCCATATTAAAGGGAATTTGAGGTGCAAGATTGAAATAAAAAGCCAGTGAAATATGTGTTTATAGACCACCTTTTTTTCCATCATTATAGTTCACATTACAAGTTTTAAGAATCAATAGAAAAATAATTAAGAGAAGCCATGGAATGTATTAACTACATAAGTTGAGAATAAATTCAATGCTGTGCATGAAATTTGGAAGACCAAGTATGTGTAACAGGTGAGTTGTATTTGGACCAAGTCCGAATAATACCTTCTTAGATTTTTTATTCCACAGTCACTATTGAACCAAAATGTTGAATTTTTTTTGGTGACTTAATGCAACATGAAATGAGACATAGAAAAATCATAAATCATTCCCTTTTTACTCAACTCACATAAGCATGAAGTTGTTTAGTTATAAAATGTCCTAGCTAACAGAGGACGATGATGCCCGTGAGGCCTTCAAAAGCCGGTACAGGTATTCATCATCAGGGAGTATAGTCAAGGACAAACAGAGTGCACCCTTGCCAGGTGAATCCAAGTCAGCATTACCATGGGTTTTTTTGGCCTGGTCAGCACATTTCAATGCTCCACTTTCATCCCCCACTAGATGCTTGAGATAACTGCACTGAATGAGGCATTAATAATCCTCCGAGTCAACTGCCTATAAATCTTCGAACTCTGCCAGAGCTTCTTCATACTTGCCCATGAGCCTCAAAATCACCGCTCTTTCTTGCCTAACGAATAGATCATCATATTCCTTGCAAGCTTCATGATAATTTCCGCGTATATCTTCAATCAACTTGTTGGCATAGTCCAAAGCCATTTCACAACTGCCCTTCACAGCTTGCATGTACATCATGCGCATCCTTCATCCAAACAATGTCCACCAAACGGTTGATATGTGAGGGGACCCGATTGAAATGTGTCTTCTAAAAATGACCATGGAAGATAGTGTTTAGGATGAGCTGTGCACAAAGACTCTTACATTATTTGCAGCTCAAATGTTAATGGTGAGAATTAAGAGACGAAAATTTGCGGTCACTTACCTGAATTCAAACAACTCGTGCTGATTACCGCGCTTCTTCAACTCAAGTTCAGCTTTTTCAGATCGATCTAAGGGAAATACTGTGAAAAAATCTTTAGGTAATGCATAGATCTCCTTGGAGAAGGATCATAAAGCAAGGATGATGACAGTATATGTACACTGAAGATCGCCTTAAAGATAGCTCCTTCTACAAGCACAAATGCGATGTATGCGGATGCCAAGAAAGTGTCAATCGTATTCAACTCCCTCAACAAGTTCACCTTGATACCATCCTTTTGAATACAAGCAATCTTGCGTGTCAGCGATTCACATCGTTGTCTCGCAGCCAGAGCCTTCCTTGCATTTTCCGTCCACATCCAAACAGAAGAAAATAACGTCTCTGCGCTCTTATCCACACCCAAAAGCCACTGGAGGTACTTACCAGGGAGTGTTCTAAAAATCAATTTGAAAGCAACATGACCAGGCTCAGATGAGTCGGGACTCTCAAGACGTTTTGCTCGTCTAGCAAATTCCAGTGCTCCACTTTCATTCTGCATCAGAGTCTTGAATTAACTGATCTGGATCAGGCAGTGATAACTCTCTGCATAAGCCAATATGTAAAAGAACTCTCTCAGCACTTCTACTTTCTTGTCCATGAGTCTCACAACTACTGCCCTTTCTTGCTTAACTAAAAGCTCAAAGGCTGGCAATGATTGCATTGACTTGTCGTCACATATCAATACATATTCATTTTGAATAGCGTCAATTAGCACATTGGCCTGGTCAAGAGCTGTTTGATAACTGCCATTCATGGCTTG